TTGCCATTTCTTCTCATTCACCCCACACTCCAGCTACAGTGAGGTTTTGTTTTTTTTTCCCTAAACATACTATACTCATTCATATCTCCCCCCTGCCACCCCAAGTTTTTCTCTAGGCCCGGGATGCCCTTCCTACCATGTTTGCCTGGCAAACTCTTTTTTATCCTCCAAGATCCAGCTGAAATGTCCCCTTCTCTTAATTTTCCCTGAGTCTTCCCAGGAGAATGTCATTCCCTCCTCTTGGCTGCCATGGCAGCTTGGCCTTAACTCTATTAAAACATGTATCACGTTATATTGTAATGTACCTGTTAGGTTTTAACAGATCTCTCACCCCCTCGAGACTGTGAGCTCTTTGAGAGGCCGTGCTTTATTTATCTCTTTATCTCCAGCCTGGCACAGTGCCTGGGGCATGATGGGTGTTCATTACATTTCTGAATGAATGATTGTGGCTACCAAAACCAAACCAAACCCACTGCCATCGAGTTGATTCCGACTCATAGCAACCCTGTAGGACAGAGTAGAACTGCTCCATAGGGTTTCCAAAGCTGTAAATCTTTATGGAAGCAGACTGCCACATCTTTGTCCTGCAAAGCCGCTGGTGAGTTCAAACTGCCAACGTTTTGGTTAACAGCTGAGTGCTTTAACGACTGTGCCACCAGGGCTCCTACGATTGTGACTAAAACAAACAAATGTAAAAAAACCAAACCCATTGCTGTTGAGTCAATTCCAACTCATAGCGACGCTACAGGAGAGAGTAGAACTGCCCCATAGGGTTTCCAAGGAGTGGCTGGTGGATTTGAACTGCCAGCCTTTTGGTTAGCAGCCAAGCTCTTAACCACTATGCTACCAGGGCTCCTATGATTATGACTACCTCCTATTTATTGAACACTTACTGTGGTATGTGTTTCACATGCATTTTTTATTTACTCCTAACAACTATTTTTGAAGGGTAGGCAGTAATATCTGCATTTTATAGATGAGGAAACAAGCTCTGGGAGCTTACGTGACTTGCCTAGAGTCACCCAGCTAGTAAGTGGCAGAACTGGAATTTGAAACCAGACCTGTCTGACTTCACTACCTGGCTCTTAACTGCTCTACTGTACTGAGGATAGTGATTACTCACATTTGGTCCATCCTCTTTCTACAGCACTGATCAAGAGGAAGGAGAAAACTGCATGGGGAGGCTTTGCGTGCGTTGTGCAGAGTGCCTGGTAAGTACATGCCCTTTCTTCTGTTTACTGTGGTGTTTCATTTTCTGCTTACCAAAGGGAATCCTTTTCTCCTCACATGTAGCAGGTAGGGCCAAAGCAAGGTATCAACTGGATGTTTCCGAAAGCATTTTGTTCTCAGGAGCCCCCTACCAATTCTAACCATTATTTTGTTTTCTGTCTCATGGGCAAAGAATGCTAGCCTTGGGTTAGAAAAGGGGATTGCGTAGAGCAGTCTCTGCTGACTAACAGCAAATTTTGGAAGGGGCATGTCCAATGCCACTGAGTTCATACTAGGGGACTTCAACTGGGCTCTCTGTTGAGCCTCAGTTTTTTCTGGGGGGTTGGAGTGATATAACCTTTTAGATGACAACTTTTAGCAATAAGAAATACCCACTCAGAAGGCAGGAATTTTGATTTAAATTTCAAAAGGCTGCCATCCCTCTCCCATTGAGTGCTTGCTGTGACTGGTAGACTTGTGTGACTGTCCTAGGATCCTAGGAGCAGGAAAGACTCTGATGTGGTGAAGTTGGAAAGAGCTTAAGTGCAACTTATGGTCTAATATGAGACGTACCTGTCATTGCAGGGCTTAAGCTTGAGCCCTCTTTGTACTTATGGTCAAGCTCAGCATTTGGCCAGATGACCATAGCCTGATTACTCATTGCAGTCTTCTTTGTTTTTCTTTCTCTTGTGTCAAACCCACTGCCGTTGAGTCGATTTTGACTTATAGTGACCCTATAGCACAGAGTAGAACTTCCCAAGGCTGTATATCTTTACAGAAGCAGACTGCCACATCTTTCTCCCACAGAGCTGCTAGCAGGTTCAAACAACCAACCTCTTGGTTAGCAGCCAAGCGCTTAGCCACTCTGCCACCAGAGCTCCTTTTCTCTTGTGTACATGAGTGTAATAGGTAAAACGAGGGAAAGGTTGATGGTGATACTAGAGAGGACTTAATACCAACCCTTGGAGGTTTGAATATCTTGATAACACAAAATAAGATAATGTCCATATGATTATCATCTACATTTCAGATATCAATTCATTCAGCAGTTATTTATTGAGCACCTGGCATGTGCCAAATTCTATTCTAGGTACTTAGGAAACAGCAGTGAACAAAACGCACAAAAATCTCTGTCCTCAAAGAACTTACATTCTTTACCTAGAAAACGCTTTCACATCCTTGAAGACACAGTGGGAATATCACCTTCTCTAAAATTGGAGTAAAACAATAACTAACTAAATTAAAAAAAAAACAAAACAAAAGGTATATAGTATATCAGATGGTGCTTAATGCTCTGGAGAACAATAAAACCAGAAAGCGGGGAAGGGGCTGCTGGATGGGGGTGCAATATTAAGTAAGGTAGCTAGGGACACTTTTACTGAGATATTTGGGCAGACACCTAAAAGAAGTAGATAGCAGACCATATGGCTAATGTGAAATAGCATTCCAGGCAGAGGAAATGGCAGGTGCAAAGATTCTCAGGAGGGCAGGTGTGGCATGTTCTAGGAGCTGCAAGGAGGCCAGTGTGGCTGGAATGAAGCAAGTAAGGGGAAGAATAGTATTTGTTGAAATCAGAGGGATTTAATGAGGTAGCTAGAGCTTAGAGAGCCTTGTAGGTAATTGTAATGACCTGGGCTTTCACTTTATTTTTTAAATTGTGCATCTTAGTTTCTTAGTGCTGTTGTAACAGAAATACCACAAGTGCGTGACTTAAATGAACAGAAATTTATTTTCTCACAGTTCAGAAGGCTAGACATCCGAATTCAGGGTACTGGCTCTAAGGGGGAGGCTTTCTCTCTGTAGGCTCTGGGGGAAGATCCTTATCTGTTTTTACCTTCTGTTTCTTGGTTTGTTGGTGATCTTCATGCAACCTTGCATCTGTCTTCCCCTATCTGTGCTTCCTTGCTTCTGTGCCTAATCTACTCTTTTTATAAAATCTTGAAAGTGATTGGCCTAAGACACACCCTACACTGATGCGGCCTCATTTACATAACAAAGAGGTCCCTATTCCCAAATGGGATCATATCCACAGTATAGGTCGGGCTTAGGATTTACAACACATGTTTGTGGGACACAGTTCAATCCATTACATTGTTGGGTTTTTTTTTATTGTGGTAAAAATTTGTGTAATGTAGCATTTGCCAATTCAACATATTTTACGTGTACAATTCAGTACACCAGTTAATCAGTACACAACATTAATCATGTTGTGCAACCATCAGCAGTATCCATTGCCAAATTTTCCATCGCCATTAACAGATACTCACTGCTTGCTAAACGATGACTCCCTCTTTTTCCCTTCCTCTTGCACCTGGTAACCACTGGTAACTTTGGTCTCTATGCATTTGCCTATTCTAGATATTTCTTGTAAGTAGGATCATATACTATTTGTCCTTTTGTGACTGACTTATTTCACTCAGCATGTTTTCAAGGTTCATCCATGCCGTAGCATGTATCAAAACTTCATTTCTCTTTATGGCTGAGTAGTATTCCATTGAATATATATAACACATTTTGTTTATCCATTCATCTGTTGATGGACACTTCAGTTGTTTCCACCTTTTGGCTGTTGTGAATAGTGCTGCGATGATGGACTTTCTCTCTTAATGAAACTGAATCCATTGGAGGTTTTTGAGAAGAGAATCAATATGAACTGGTTTATGGTTTCAAAGGATCACTCTGGCTTCTGTGTTGAGAACAGGTGGTAAGGGACCATACAGGATTAGAGAAACCAATTAGGGGGCTTTAGCAAAAATCCACATGAGAGAAGATGGTGGTGGTTTGGGCTAGGGTGGTGGTGGTAGAGGTGGTGAGAAGTGATTGTATTCTGATTATGTTTTGAAGGTGAAGCCAGAAGGATTTGCTTATGGGTTGCAAGTTCTGTTTGGGGGGATCCAAACGTGATTTTTGCCTAAATTCTGACCGTGGCATGATACTTCATGTATGCATCACACCTACTGTTCTTTCCCCTCCAGGATCCAGACTATGAAGACACATATTAATGAAAGTCTGTGTGTTATAAGAAGAGTCACCCATCTAATAACAGAAAACAACCCATTCCACTGGCAGCTAAAGCCTCTCGGATAAGTGGAGCTGGCCTGAGCCAGCAGTTATGGAGGATTCTGGAGATCATCAGTAAAGACTTTAGGAACCATTTATTTATTGAAGAGATGTTCTTTTTGTATTCATAAACTGTTCAAAAACTCTCAGAAGAGACTCCTAACTACCCCTTTTAATAAGTTATACTTTAATTGAATGAAGGAATTCTTTTCCCAAACAGAAAGATAATTTTGTTTTGCCTTTGCTCTTGAATGTATTACATGTTGTCTTCCAATTATTTGAGGGAAAATCCTAAATGTTTTCCACTGCTGGTGCCAAAATAATTTTTTTTTTTTTAATGAAATGGAGCCTGTGGCTTCCTGATGTGCTCCCAGACCGAATGTTTGCTTGGGAGAAGTATCCGTTGTTTTTTGCTCCATGAACATTTTCAGCCATGAGTTAGCATACAGTGTATACTCATCCATTTAATGATCCTATCACCATTTGTCTTTGGGTGATTTGGATTGTATAGCCCTAATTTCCTTAGAGTTGGTAGGATCAGGAGGCAATGGTTTGCTTTGACTGGATTTTAAAGTGTTAAATAAAGTGTCATCAATTTAGAATCAAGGAAAAAAGTGGTGGGGTAGAGGAATTCCTTTCTTTTGTCTTGCTATGTGCCATATGGGCCAAGAGGCCATTGTTATTTTACTTACAACTGACTGCTTTACAGGTTTCTTCTTAACTTTTTAGGTCAGAGGCAAAAAAACTCTTCAAAAGGTTTTTAGTGGGGACTTAAAGATTGTCTTAACAGTTATTTGCAATTAAACCATCTTTTAATCTGTATTATTTTTCAAAACTCCTTTAATATCTAAAGTGCACCAAATATGAGTGTACTGTGGTGTTTACAAGCTGTTGTTTGTATAGCATTAAACATGAGGAAGTGAGGTTGTGCATAACCTGTATTTGTTCCTTTTGTTTTCTCAGTACTTTATAACAGCTTCCTCCATTCTCCGATAGCAACTTATTGTAAGTTTTAATTTGTATGGGATTTTCTAGAAGTCATTAAGAAATATGTATGACCTGTCTGGAAGGATTGGCAGTGTATATTTAAGTAGTCCTCTGTGATATAGTGATGAAAGTCCTCTGTGATAGAAGGGTTCAGTTCTCAATTATGAGAGACAGAAATGATCCCCTCCCCCCATTTTTGTTTTTTCTAAAGAATGGCCCCTTTTCAATTGTTCTCCACTAAGTAGCTCTGGATGTTTCCATATTAAAGCATTATGTACTGTGTATGTTATCAAAAAATCACCTTTCTTTTGTATTTTTTGCCAAGATCTATTTTTTTAAAATCTAGGTTTGTTAGCTCTCTCTCAGATTTGGCTTAGCCTCTTTTGTTAATTTAGTCCACAGATGAGAGAATCTGGTTAGTTACTAGACATTAGTATTTACTTCTGGTCATGGAAGGAAGTCAGAAGAGGCAAAGACAGGGTTGGCATCAGCAATTTGTGTTTCCAGTGGTTAAACCTCATGGTTCTTTGGACCACTTGTGGTTGTCTAGGGCCAATCTGGTGAGACCATTTCTAACACCTCAACAGAGAGAGGAAAATAATTTGAGCAATGAGAACAAAAAATTAGAGCTTCAGAGTTTTGAAGATAGAGATCTAATTGTGAGGGGCCTTTCTGAGGGTCCTCTTTTCTCTGAGAAAGAGATGATGTTACAGGAATGCAGTTAAAACCACATCTCATCAAATGAGTAACCAGTTTTGGCTGGGTCTTCTTGTCATGTCTTTACAGGCATGTTGTAGGGATTTTAATCCAGGATGGTATATTTGTCATTTTAGGTAAATGGTGCTGTGTGAATACTCAGTTGTGTTATTTTACATCTGTAATCTTGATTTGGACCGGTCTCTTCCTTTTTAAAGGACTGAACAATAGAGTCCTTCATGGCAAGGGAGTCAGCTGATAATTTAGTCTGCTTCATGGGCCTATGGTCACATCCCAGTCATAAGGCTGCTATCAGTTTCCTTCTCCATCCCTTATATCCTTGTATTGACGTCTGAATGACAGCTTTTTTCTTCAAGGGAGCACAAAGCAGTGCTTGGATACCTGCTTTCTTTAAGGATGGAAGGAAGATAAAGTTTAGTTTTTTGTTTGTTTGTTTTTTAACCTACTGTTTTAATATCTTCTAAGGTGCTATTCTCTCTCTCTCTCCCTCTCTTTTTTTTTTTTTGCTGCTTCATGAGTTCTTGTCAAACCATAATGAGACCAGCCTTATCTAGAAAGGGATTTAATTCTGAAACCTTCATAAGGGTTAAAAGTCTTTCAGAGTTTTTCCTTGGCTGCTGAAGTCTTTCCTTGTGATTACACCACCGTGTGAGTTTTGTGTATTAAGCTCTTAAGTGTGTTACAAAATGTGAGCTTATAAAGTGCTTTCTGTTTGCCATGTGACCTGTTACTTCAGGCTACTTGGAGGGCATCTTAGTTCTCTGCAGTCCCCAAACTGGGCACTGGTGCTTCAAGAGGGAAGGTTGCATATCCCTGTTCTTTTTTTTTAAGTCTGGAGGCTACATCCTGAATCTGAATGTTCTACTGCGTCACTCAGTCATGCTTCTAAAGGTGAGCTGCAAGAAGACCCCTAAGGAGTGGACCAGGACTGTCATTTGATTTCACAGCTCAGAGCTTTGCTGCAGAAGAGGCAGCTCCATCGTCTGACTCCAGTGTTGGATTGTTACTGCTGCATCTCAGCGAGTTTTCTATTTTTGTCTTTTCGTAGGAGGGTATGCACTGTTGGACATGTACATGGACATTGTAACTCTTGGTATCTTACTGTGTCATAGTTAATAAACTTCTTTGCACTTTCCAGCTGCATTTTGGCCTATATCTACATATAAGAGGAAAGTTGTCGTGTGAAAGAGGGGGGCTTGTATTTTTCAGCATCAAGCAATGAGTCATCTCTGAGTTGCTCTTAAGCAAAAACCTGCATAAATTCAGTGATGTGCTGGAGCCAGCTCACACTGCCCACAAGAGCTGACTGCTAAATTTTTAGGAGTTTTATGAGCTTGTTGTAAAACTATTGATAGCTCAAGATTGGTCATGGTGGGAATTTTTTTACTACAGAAATAACTGGTTGACCAGCATACCGCTTTCTAAGGGCCATCCAACATAGACCTTGAGAAGAGCAAGCATTCAATAGCTTTTCAAATGGTACAGGACAAGTTCCATAAAATGAGAATGCACAGATCTTTAGGTATAGAAGTCCTAATACCTAGGATAAGGTTGAAGGCACATACATCAAGAACACTTATTTTGAAGTGGTAACTTAAGACCAAGAGATACCTTGCTTGGAGTGAAGAAGCCTTGAGTTCTTATCTAGGATGCCCAAGTCATCCAAGGGGCTCCCTGGGGGAATGAATTACTGCCTATATTCTGGAAATGCTGGTATCACACTCAGGAAATCTACATGTCTGGGTGGTAAGTTGGAAGACTAGGCAGGCTTATCTTTGGAAGCAGGTATTGAGTGATTGCCTGGCTATATTGCAACTCTATGTTGAGAGAAAAAACAAGGGAGACTATTGTATCTTGAACACAGAGCAAAATATTTGTGTTAATCTTAAATTTGTTGTATGAGGCGGATCTCCTCAGCAGGTGTCTGCCTGATGCCATTCAGTATCCTACCCTCAGAGAGTTTGTAATCTAGAAAGGGAGATGTCACCTACAGAGATCTGTAATGTGGGGCTCACCTCAGAAGGCAGATTTATTACCTCTTTTTAGAAGGAAAATACAAATATATATTGGGTAATAGGCCAGAAGATGAAATGAGAACCTCCGTTTTGAGGTTCCTGTTTCTCTCTGCAGCCACCGCAGAACGCACACATTTGCTCAAGTCTGAACTGGTCTGCCGTCTGTGGGAGATTGCAGCTGCATTGCTTCTCTTGGGTGCTCTTCATCTTAGGTAAGCAATGTCCCTGTATTTTTTTAGCAGTTGTTTGAACTTTTCTCATTCAGGAGAAGGTGGGTTCTGAAAGTGTTTATTGGAAGTCCTTTAGGGTCATGAGGCCCCAGTCACAGAGCTCTCAGTCTCAGCAGAGGGACCGTCATAAGGTAGTCTAGTGGTAGCAGTTTTCTGCAGTGTAGAGGAATTTATGTTAAGATCCTCAGTGAAAGAAGAGTAATATTTGCTTTAAAAAAAAAGTAAGTGAGGATGATGATGATAAGGCTTTAGCTTTTACGTTGCTTGTGACTTTAGGTAGAACTGTGATTAGGTGTCCTTCAGCTCATGGCAGAACTCTCCCCTCATTGTTTCTCTTCTCCCAGTCCTAGACAAGCATATTTAATCTTAAGGATCCAAGAACTTAAACCTCCCAAGAGAACTAGACTACTGTCCCTTATATTTTTTGTACCCTCTGCATACTCCCGACATCGGGAAAGACTGATGTGTGATGGTTTATATATAACCCGGATTGAAGGAGGGACCAAGAGTATTGACTTCCAAGGTCCCCTTCAAGTAGATGGTTGACTGATGTAACTTAGGGTATGTTTAAGAAGCCCTGTGAACTACCAGTCTGTGTTAAATAGTCTTGAAAGAAGTGTGTATGTAGACTTGTATACCAACAACATCTGAGAGCCTGGAAGTACACAGCAACATGGAGCGAACTGTGTGATCAACAAAGACTTTGCAGTTGTCTGTTTGCTCAGTAGTTGGTTGTCCTTATGAGGGCAGGTATTTTGACCGAGAGACAGAACCTTTCCTTATGTTTTGTTTGTATAACTGTAGAATGAGTATATGATGATTTGGATAAGTCATAAGATATACATACACACACACACACATATATATATAGCGACCCTATAGGACAGGGTGGAACTGCCCCATACTGTTCCCAAGGAGCGCCTGGTGGATTTGAACTGCTGACCTTTTGGTTAGCAGCTGTAGCTCGTAACCACTATGCTACCGGGGTTTCCGATGCCATAAAGGCAAGATAAACAGTACTATTATAACATGTGGCTAGGGGATCTGACTTGGTCTGGATGATCCAGGAAAGTTTCCCCCGAGGAAATGGCGTTGAACTTGAGTTCTCAAAGATGAACAGGAGCATAACTGGGTAAAGAGGTGAGTGACAGTGGTGGGAAGAGCATTCAGTCAGAGGGAGCAGATTAATTTTGTTTTGATACATTCAGAGGAACTTTGCTTTAGAATATTTCCTTTCCCAAATACAGAGAAGCAGCTTAGCATAGTAAGGGCATAGGCTCTGAAGTCAGACTGCCTGGGTTTGAAGCCTGGCTTTGCCACTTGTTATGTGTTCTTAGGCAAGTCTCTTCACCAATCTGTGCCTCAGAAAACCTCATAGGGTTGTTGTGAGGATTAAATGAGTCAATGTGTATAGTGCTCTGACAGTGCCTGGCATATAACCTTCTTGGGTTTACTGCATATCTACTACCGATTTCTAGTGTGGTGTGTATTAATTAGGCAAAAAAAATAAGTCTGATCCTTTAATGTTAAGGATGAGGTCCAGCGAGATTGAGTGATTTCCCGGAGATCAAAGAGTTAGCTAATGGAAGGTCTGACCCTGGAAGAAATTTTTATTTTAACTCTAATTCAGTACTTTTTACACTAAAATCATTCGCACAGAGTAGTAATGGTGCATTTGGCCATTTAGGGCTGAAAACAGGTGTCTTAGATTCATCAGACTGTTTGCACTTTTCTTCCAATTTGAAAATGGTTTGGGTGTGGCTCTGAGTGACTCAGGTTTGGTGACTAGATTGAGAGACTTTATGGGGTCACTGGTTTCCTCTTAGGATGGAGTGGTATAGGATGTCTCTAAGTTGATTTCAATTTAATGGTGACGTTGGCAGCTGCCAGCAAATCTGGCATGTGCCAGGCACTTTACCAGGTGCTGTAGCACAAGAATGGAATAGAAATATAAACGAGACATGCATGGTTCACCCTTGAGAATGTACAGACTGGAATAGGGGTTGGTGTCAGACATGTAAGCCAGTCATACCAGTTACCAGTTGCCGTCAAATCAACCTGACTCATGATGACCCCATGTGTGTCCGAGTAGAACTGTGCTCCACAGGATTTTCAATGGCTGATTTTTTGGAAGTAGATTGTCAGATCTTTCTTCTGAGGCACCTCTGGGTGGACTCGAACCTCAAATGGTGTGTTAACCATTTGTATCACCCAGGGACTCCAAAAAATCCTCCTTTTCCATGCAAATGGTACGCTGCTGAGGGGAATGTACAAGTGCTGCTTGCTGGGCAAGAAAAGGGCATAACCAGCTCTCTAGGGAGGATTTATACAGAAGATGACAGTGATCTCAGCTGTCCCAGATATGATAACATTATGACATGCTATAAAGGAAGCCCTTTATAACACTCATCCATGTGTATGTGGGGTGAGGTGGGGAGATGGAGCAGGAGTAGGGCTATGACCATCTTGAGGGAAAACCGTTTTCATTAGATGTACTTATGTTTGGGGGAACTTAACATGACTCTTGGTATGCCTGGGCCAGTGTAGTTAGTATCCACAATTTTGTAATGGGATTCACAAGTTGAAACAGAACATTTCCAGTCCATTCTGAATCATCAATTGCCATTCATATAAAAGGTACAAGCTCAGAACCTAATATCTCCTCCGAAGCTAGAAGCCCTGTTTTCTTTCTGACTAATAAGTTTTAAAAAATAGGATCTTATATGGTAATGCTTTCTGTTTTTCAAATCACTTTCACATTATCATGTTTGATCCTTGCATTACTGTTGCCATGTTATAGGTGAGGAAACTGAGGTTCAGCGAGGTCAACTGACTTGTATGAGTAAATGGGGTCTAGGGTAGGACCTCCTTGAAAAGTTTGACCCCGAATTTCCAGATGAAGGAGTTTGTGGATTAGAATATAGGCAAGGGAAAGGGCTATATAAACCAGAGACTTCATCAGCCTGAGACCAGAAGAGCTAGATGGTGCCCGGCTACCACAATGACCACCCTGACAGGGAACACAACAGAGAGTCGCTGACGGAGCAGGAGAAAAGTGGGGTGCAGAACTCAAATTCTAGTAAAAAGACCAGACTTAGTGGTTTGATTGACACTGGAGGGACCCTGGAAGGCATGGCCCCCGGGCTCTCTGTTAGTCCAAAACTAAAACCATTCCCGAGGCCAACTCTTCAGACAAAGATTGGACTGGACCGTGGGACATAAAATGATACTCATGAAGAGTGCGCTTCTTAGCTCAAGTAGATACATGAGATTAAATGAGCAGCTCTTGTCTGGAGGTGAGATGAGAAGGCAGAGAGGGTCAGGAGCTGGTGAATGCACATGGGAAATCAGGGGTGGAAAGGAGGAGTTTGCTGTCAGTACAGGGAGAGCAACTAGGGTCACATAATAATGTATGTATACATTTCTGTATGAGAGACTAACTTGAATTGTAAACTTTCAGTTAAAGCACAATAAATAAATAAATAAATAAAAAGAATATAGGCAAGGAATCTCTTAGGTAGTCGTGTTTTGCAAATTAAAATGGCCACCATTTTTTATTCTTAAGATGAAAAAATGTGCCAGACTTCCCATCAGATCTGAGCGGAGTATTGTGCTGTCAAGGCACTTAAAAAGAGCTTTCCCTCCAGCAGCTTTCCGAGGTGGATTCTTCCAGTGCCAAGTTGGTTAGGGGCTTAGGGATCATGGCTGAGACCAGGCACAGGTATAGGTAGGAACTCAAGACTGGTGGAATTGTACTTCTTGAAGTTACGGTTCTCCTGTTTAAGAAAATTTGGGGGCGTTGTGTTAAACAGAGAATCCTTTCCCAGGAGCTGGCGACTGCAGTGAAATTAATACCACAGAGATAATATAAACATTAAAAAAATACTTTTGCCCACGCACGGCCCAATTTTCATGCTACTCACGCCACCCTGCCGAAAATAGTAAAAAAGAAAAAGCTTGTCACAGGCCTTTCATGTGGCTTGTCTGTGTCATGGAACTTGGTTAATGTCTTAACTGAGTTCCAATTTTCCCCTTATTTGTGTATCTCCTTTTCCACATTCTTCATATATTTAAAAGCAATAATTCTAATTTAGTGGGGAGATAGCAGAAAATTCCAGGCCGAGTATCCAGTAATTTTTTTTTTTTTTTAAATCTGAAATTCTCAGATTGTGGAAAGTCAAGGGTTATCATTTCACGGGCACCCTATAATCACTTGCTTTTTTCTCTCAAAAAGCAACTTTCATCTAATCTTCCCTCATTAGCCAATCTAACCAACTAGTTGCCTTCCAGTCGACTCTGACTCATGGTGACCCCACGTGTGTCAGAGTAGAATTGTACTCCATAGGGTTTTCAGTGGCTGATGTTTTGGAACTAGTTGCCAGCCTTTCTTCTGAGGTGCCTCTGGGTGGACTCAAACCTCTAACCTTTTAGTTAGCAGCTGAGCACGTTACCAGTTTGCACGACCCAGGGACTCCACACAATCTAAAGTAGCCGCCAAATGATTCTCTGGGCACCACTCTGTTTTGTTTCATTATAGCAATTTTCAGCATAAGGTATTATTCATTCATTTGCTTCTTGTTAGCCCATCTCCCTAGTCTAGTTCAATGCTGCATCCCAGCACCTCAATTGAAGGCTGGCCCACTAGACACGCGCTACTGATTTGTTACATTAATAAACTTCTCTTGACACAGTTTTCTGATTTTTTTCTTTTAAGATTGAACAATTGAAAGCGGCATGTTTTTCCCATTGAAAATCATCCTGGTGCCCATGTTACTGGGTAAGTGCAAGCCACAGGACTGAGAAGGGTATTTAATTCCTCATAAGTTGCGTGCATTTTAAAAAACCAATGCTGTATATTTTCAATTCCCCTTGGTTTGTTGAAAATGGAAACCCTAACCGAGACCTTCATTGTTTTGCTGAAACAGCTGTTTGAGAAGCCACGTAGCAGAATCTTTCTTGGAAAGCTGAATCTTCTGTCTCTATTAGAAACGGCTACCTTTGGGTCCTTACTGGGTGTTCTGGGACCCTCCTGTGTGATACAAAGAAAGTTTTTCTATGGCATTCTTGCAATTCCAATCGTTATCTTTAAAACTACAGTTAATCCTCAGATCGGGAACTGAAATTACCAGAGTCCCAGAATCCCCCTCTTTGTTCTCATGTTTTAGCCACGCAAGCCTGCTTGCAGTTCCTCAATTGGTCTTTCCCAGTTTGGGGTATATTCCTTTGCCTGGAGCCCCTCCTCCCCACTTCCTACACCTCACCCCATCGGGCCAAAGCTTCCTCAGCCTTCGAGTTTCCCCTTAGGCTGCACTTCCTCTAGGAAGCCTGTCCTGGCTGTCCCCGCCGCCCCCGCCACCCCACAGCACTACACGGGAGGCTCCGGTTTCTACCTTACCTACGCGCTCCGGGCCAATTCTTGTCGCTCAGCTCCACTAATAATTTTTTCATGTCTTTCTCTTTATTCCATGGATACAGCTCCGCAGGAAGAAGAAATTAATTAGGTGCTTTTCTCCCATAGCCCTTTTATTTTTCTCTTTATTATTATTTTTTGAACTGCAGATAGTGACCTAAACACTGGCTAAGCAAAGTGCACAAAACGGTTGCCTCTGCTCTAATTCCAGGCAATATAGGGTACACAGACAAGCAGGCGTACGTGCATACACGCACACATACAAACACACATACACACACACACACACACACACACATACACACGCAAAAACACACACACAACACATACACACACACACACACAAAACACATACACATACAAACACACACAAACATATACACACACAAACCCACACGTGAAAATAGTATGTATTGGAGAACTTTTTTTTTTTTCCCCATAAAAGCAGAGTTATAACCATCTCGGAGGGTATTTAGACATTTCCTCCAGGTCCGTGAAGCAGCCTGCAGGTTTTTGCTCTTCTATCCAGAGAGTTAACAGATGCAACCCCTGCAGACAGTGGCTAGGTGACATCCTGGGGTTTTGTACTTCTTTGTGAAAAGGTTTTTCTCCTCTGCAGAAAGTCTCACTTTTTGCACCCATTTCTCTTCAAAGATTACTCTGCAGACATAAGTTTCTGGTTGCCACTGTAGCTCCTTAGCAGTCCTTCACTTAATTCTACATACAGTGCTTTAATATTAAATTAAATTAGCTTCTGATCTCTTTAACTACACATGAAGTTGCTCAGTTCTTTCTTACAGTAAAATTCCAAATCATGTTTGGAGCTAATTATGATTTCTTTCAACATAATTCTCTCCAAAGGGTTTAGAGTTCATGTTTTCTTTCCCATCTTCCCTATTGTGAGTGCCTGCTGTTGGGGCAGGAAGTTAGCTCTCTGCTCTCAGGGAAAAAGCTTGGATGAAAAGCCTGGCACGTTTTCTATTTATTCCCATATGTATTTCCTTGGTTCCTCTTTGGTCTGAACCAGGCAGCATCTATATGTGTCTTTCTTGATTTTGTTGTCTGTTTGCATAGAGCAGTGAAAACAGAAATGTTCATTTAATGATTTTCTCTTTTAGTTACCTCTTGGACTTACTTGAGCAGTGTACAGATAATGAGGTCAGGCCAGGTGCACAAAGAGGCTGGAAGAAATGCCTAGAAGCTGAAAAGCCAGGGCTGATGGCAAAGCTGGAGGGGGGCAAGGCAGGGAGAGGGCCAACAGAGGAAATTCGAGGGGAAAGCTGTGCTCTGCATTGGCCTAATTACAAGGACCTGCTCTATAGCCAGAATTAGCTAGCAAATTTAGAGACAGGCTTTTAAAAAGAATGGAAAAAGAAGAAGGAAAACCAAACCAAACTTGTGAATTGGCTTCTCAGATAGGGAACTAGTGGGAAACGAAGAGCAAGAGACATTCTATTTCCTGTTTATGGTAAGCTGATGTGGGTGTCCAAATTGATGACCAGAAAGTAGGGGTGTCAGGGTTTCCCTGCTTTCTTTAGAAAGGATGGGGGGAGGGGGTGGATTCTGGAAAAAGGGAAGGGACTAGACAGGAGAAAGGGACCAGATAGCATTTATTACAGTATGAAGATTGTAGAAACCCTCTGACTTGAGCCATGTGGGTGACTCGAGGATATTTCTCTTGATCTTAGGGACGCTGGTTTGCAAGAGAGGCCTCTAAGAACTTTGGGACATTGGATTATCTAAGGGAGGGGAAATGTGCATTGATGATTGATATGCGTTTTTGTTGTAGAAAGTGTCTGTCTAGATGATATGTCCTCTTGCCTTTGACTTCTATAGATTACTTCTTGGGCCCGAACAACTTGATTGTTGCCACCCCTGAGCTAACAGTCCACGTGGGTGATTCGGCCCTGATGGGATGTGTTTTCCAGAGCACAGAAGAGAAACACGTGACCAAGGTGGACTGGATGTTTTCATCAGAAGAGGATACCAGGGTAAGGAGGAGGAAACTCACTGTACTGTAGTGGTAAGAGGGAGAATCTAGTTGTCAGGTGCTGTCAGAACTGAGCCTCCTCTTAGCCTCCGTCACTTGGTTGTGTAACCACTTGGCTGTGTAACAGCTGAGCAAGTTACTCAACCTTGCTGAGCTTCAGCTTCCTGATCTGTGAAGGCGAAGGTAGTTATAAGAATGATAATGCTTAATATTCAGATTGTTGAGAGGCTGATTAGGCAGTGCACATAAAGCTCTTTCAGTTTTTCTCCTCTTTCTCCTTCTGCCTTTGTAAAGTAGCATAGGTAGGTGAGAGGGTTGCTTCCTGGGGTCTAGACAGAAAAGCTATGGCCTAGGCATAAGAATGGTGTCATAATAATCTTTTGTGGTAGGGAGGAGCAAATTCCTTCAGCATCCCATTGCTCCATGTGTGTGCTGGGGAATGGTCTTTTGCTCCATCCTGGCTGCTCGAAGTGTTGGGATTAGCAGACGCAGCACGGTCGGGTGAGCAGTCTTTCATGGAAACTCTTTGGAGGAGGAAACAGTGAATTTAGCCTCATCAGAGATTCCATGGAAATACTTGTATCTCAGGATCATTTGTGAAATATGTCCTAAATAATTTGTGACCAATAATAAAGTCTCAGTGTTTACAAATGAAATAGTTTTTGTAACTCAGAGCATATTCCGTGTTATCCCTCTAAAGCTGTTGCTGTTGTTAGTGGCTGTTGATTCTGACTCATGGTGACCCACATGTGCAGAGAAGTACTGCTCCGTAGGGTTTTCAAGGCTGTGACCTTTCGGAAGCAGATCACCAGGCCTGTCTTCCGAGGTGCCTCTGGGTGGGTTCAAACTACTAACCTTTTAGCTAGTGGTTGAGTGCTTAACTGTTTGGACCACCCAGGAACTTCTTCCTATAAAACTACTGTCACTCAAATTTTTTTTACTACTTATTATTATTAGAGGGATATACCCATGGTGTAAGCAGAAATAAGAATTTCCCAGGGGTCCCTGCCCCAGCCTGCAATCATTCCCTGATGATAACTCCTTCTCCTCCTTTACGCTCTGCTGCCTTGAGGAGGACAGGAAGGAGAGGAGTGACAGCTATCACGCTGGGAATTCTCATGCCCCCCTGTTGAGCCATGCATTTGAATAACATCTAATCTGTGGGCCAGGTCAGAAAACAGGATGAAAATGGGAGATAGTTCTCAAAAGTTGTGAGTTTGAATCTTCAGAGTGATCTTCAGAGAGGTGTTACGTTTTACCTTAAACTGTAGGGTATAAAAATGTGTGGACCGTATTTTTCCATTTGCCTTTGTATAAAATATATGACAGAGCCGTGTACGAGTAGAATACTGCCTGGCACGTTATTATTATTATTAACTGGGTACCAAGTACTTTTTGATCAGGATGATGATGACGGCTAGGATGCCTCCATATTACAGGGTCTTTTGAATCCAAGTCAGGTACATCTGACTTTTGATTTTCCCCAATGTTCTATTGCCTTTTAGGATGAATATGTGCTATACTATTATGCCAACCTCAGCGTGCCTATGGGGCGCTTCCTGAATCGTGTGCACTTGGTGGGGGACATCTCACGCAATGATGGTTCTCTCCTGCTCCAAGATGTGAAAGAGGCTGACCAAGGAACCTATAAGTGTGAAATCCGCCTCAAAATGGAGAGCTTGGTGTTCAAAAAAGAAGTGGTGCTGCATGTAATACCAGAGGAGCCCAAAGGTACACAGCTGCTTATTTAGAGAAGGGCTGAGGGGCAAGAGATTCCAGGTGCAAAGAGGGAAGGGAACAGATCTTTTTTTTTATATTGCACATAAAACATTTATTCAAAGCATTTGATTGAAGGTGACATATGCAGTTACACCAAAAAAGAATTTTCGGTCAAAATATTTGCTTATTGTCCTTTTTTTTTAAATTCTACTTTAGGTGAAGGTTTACATAACAAATATTTTCTCATTAAACAGTCAGTACACATATTGTTTTATGACATTGGTTAACAACCCCACGACATGTCAACACGCTCGGAAGGGAACAGATTTTGCTTCACAAATGCCAGGCTTTGGGCTCGGTACTTACTGCAGAGTAGGTCCTCAATAAATTATTCTCTCTCTTTTTTGGTAAACCATGATCCAAGGTTATCTTTAGTATCATTTGACTATCCAGAGCATTGGACTTTAAAAGAAGAGAGGGAAGAATTCTAAAATGACTGTTTCTCATTTTTGATTCCTTAAAAAAAACACACACAAAAAAACTTGTTGCCATTGAGTTGATTCTGACTCATAGCAACCCTATGGCACAGAGTAGAACTGCCCCATAGAGTTTCCAAGGAGCGGCTGGTGGATTTGAAGTGCCAACTTTTTTTGGTTACCAGCCATAGCTCTTAACCACTGTGCCACCAGGGTTTCCTTAGAGGTCAGTTACTTATTTTTTTCTTTGTAATCCTCTCTGTCTTTCTCGCCATATGTATTTATTTACTTATTATATATACATGTATATATATGTATGGAAACCTTGGTGGTGTAGTGGTTAAGTGCTACGGCTGCTAACCAAAAGGCTGGCAGTTTGAATCCACCAGGCACTTCTTGGAAACCGTATGGGGCAGTTCTACTCTGTCCTATAGGGTTGCTATGAGTCGGAATCGACTTGATGGGAATGGGTTTGGTTTTATATATATGTGTATATATAGATATATAACACATTTCCCAATTCAGTATTTTTACATGTACAATTCAGTGACATCGATTATATTAATCATGACATGCAACCATCACCCGTATCTGTTGCCCAATATTCCATCACCAATAAATGATTCTCTTTAAAAAAATAATGGTGATAATTATTTTATTATTTAAACACATTTCATCCTCATGAAAACCCCATGAAGGAAGTATTGGTCTTTCCACTTTACAGATGATATAACTGTGCCCTAGAGAGGTTAAATGAAATGCCTAAGGATACATACTTATTAAATGGCATATTTAGTACAGTGAAACCTGTGAGAGCCAGGACTCCACGGGACGGCGTTGTTTTTCCAGGTCTCACAAGTTTTCCGCCTTTGACAGGGTACAGTCTGATCACTTTTCTATCACTTTCTATTAGTGGAAAATATTTGAGTTTTCCTTTTCAGGCAGGTTTCCGTCTTACACAGGTTCTGGCTTTTGCAGTTTTCACTGTACTTGAACCTAGGCACCTCTGACAACAAAGTCTATGTTCTTTTTACTATACTCTGACGCTTCCCATCATTTCTTCGCGTTGATGCCATGTCCATGCTTTATGGCACCTGTGTTAAGTGTTCTGGGGAAAAGAAAAGAAATCAGCAGGTCTCTCGGACTTCTTTGGACCTAATTTTTCAATCTGTAAATGGAGGAAGTGGCTTCAGAAGATTGGTGATTTGGAAACTACTCTGTGGAACTTTTAAATGCTGAACGTCTTAGGCATCACAAAGGGTGAGAAAGGGGCAGAGGACTGGGAGAAGACCTCATCAGGTGGGACCCAGGGCTTCTACCTCCACTTCAACCAAAAGGAAAGTTGTTTCCCTTTTTCCTGCTTTATTGGTTGGGCTTCCAGTAAGATTTTGTTTGAAGAAAGGATTCTTCTGCTTAAAAAAAAGTTGAGAGCACAGAATTAGATGCATTCTTTCAGAGTGTGAGATGGAAGGACAGTCTACGGCCTCAGGAAAACTTGCAGTCTAGTTATGGAGCTAGGCTCTGGTCCCGCAGCTAGATTCGGCCTCCTCTCTTTTACAGAGTTCCTCCAGAGCATCCTCCTTCCTCCTTTGTGACACTCATCACACTTGTTCAATGCGTCTTCCCTGCTCACTTGAGTCTGTGTTCTTTATCCCCCCGGCCAGCCCTGGGCACGGTGCCGGGCACAGAGTAAGCAATCAATGACTGCTGAATAAATGCAATTCTTGAGTGAAAGTCCCTCACTTGAATCCGATTTCTAAAAAACAGAGTTGTAGAAGAAGTATGTGATTTATCCTCTTTCCCCTCTTCCTATTTTTTCCTACTTTTTTTCTTTTCCATTGCCATTTTTCTCTTTATTCCAAGGTTGTGGTTCTCAGGGAAAAAAAAATGAATCAGATGCCTGGGTTCTCAAGGATTATCTGTGTTCCTTTTTCTGCCTTTGTTTTCTAATGCTGTGGCTGAACGCTTGTCAGTATGCATGGCCTACCAAATGGGCACCTATTCCTGCTTAGAGGAGACACCAAAAAACAAACAAAGCAGTCACCATCAAGTTGACCCCGATTCATGGTGACCCTATGTGTGTCAGAGTAGAACTGTGCTCCAGAGGATTTTCAATGACTAATTTTTCTGAAGTAGATTGCCAGGCCTTTCTTCCGAGTAGCCTCTGGGTGGACTTGAACCTCCAACCTTTTGGTTAGAAGCCAAGCACATTAACCATTTGCACCACGCAGGGACTCCTAGAGGAGGCACAGAGGACATTAAAAGGCAACAATCACAACGAGATGAAGAATCCATGGAAACAGGCTAGAACAACTTTAAAGGTAGTCAAATATTTCCCCAGTAGCCAATGGAGCAATCTGTATTTTTTTTCACCCGTACAGCCAAAGAGGAAATAGATCCAACCCCTAACAACTTTTTCTAGTGGCCTAGTGAAACACAATCAACTCCCTTTAGAGAGATTGCCTCCTCCCATGTCGGAACTCCATTTTTGCCGTTTCTATCATTTTATCTACAAGTTTACCCTTTAGTTTTAAATTTTTCTATGATTCTAGTACTTCAATTTATTTTTTTCTCATTCTTATTTTAAACATTATAGACAATATTCTTACAAATGAAAATAGGAGTAGCTTCCTGTACTCTTCTGTAGAATCAGCCATCCCTCACTTACATGAGATGGTACAGTGTAGTGAGTGAGAGAGCTGAGACTTTGTCTTTACCTAGGCCTGGGTTTGAGTATGGGCTCTCCCTTTGACTGGCCATGTGGCTTTGGGCTCTTTCAGTTTTCTTATCTGTAAAATGGAACAGTAATAGTACACACCTCAAAGTACTGTAATGACTAACCGATGCACCACTTAGGTCTGGCACATGCCTGGTGCATTGAAAGGACTCAGGATGTTGTATTTTTTTCATAGAGTTCAGCTCTTAATGTGCTGATGGATTTAGAGGGAGGCGCCTGGGAACCCTATGGGGAAGTTCTACTCTGTCCTACAGGGTCGCTGTGAATCGGAATCGACATGACAACAACAACAAACAGCCTTCCCTACTGGTATTCTTTGGAGGGAATTTTTATTACTTTTGAAATAATTCCCTCCATAGAGCGTGGAGTTTATGATATTTTCTTTTGTTTCCCTCACATGATGCATCCCTCCTGCTGGGCAGGAAGTTAATGTTCTCACAGGGAAACAGCTTGGATAAAAAGATCAGCTTATTCCCTACGTTTGTTCCCTTGTGAGCTTTCCTTGACTCTCTTTTGAAGGAACTCTGTCAGTTAAGACCTAGGCTTGTGCCTCGCTAGATACCACCTGCCTTTCATTTCTTAATTGACTTTGTGGTTGATTTGTGTAGAGCATTACTGAAAAATTAGAAACATCTAATGTTTTCTTTTTTAGGGACCTCTTGAAATGATTTATGCAATAAACATATGTGGGGTCAGGCTGCTTGGACAAATAAACAGGCAGAAGAAAGAACCTAGGAGTTGGGAAGGGGGGTCAGGTGGGAGTCAGGAGGGGGCAGGGATTGAAACAGAAAGAAAAGTCAAGGGGAGAGCTATCTGCTGCCTTGGCCTAATTATCAAGGAGTCCTGTGACTTGTACTGTAGCCAGGACTGGCCAGCAAATCCTAAGACAACTTACAAAAAAGAATAAAAGGAGTCAAAGAGAGTCACCAGTGATTCTGTTTTTCATCTAGGAGACCCAGGGGTTTTATATAAGAATGAGAATTATATAACTCTTCACTTCCTGTTTATGTTAAACAGAACTGGGTATCTAAGTTGGTGAACAGAAAATGGAGACTTCAAGATTTTCCATACTTTCTTTAGTATAAACTTGATGTGGGGTTGGGATTCATGGGGGAGGAGTTGGAAAAAGGTGAGGAGAAGGGAATTAAAAGGGGCTAAACCAAACCCGAAGCCCTGGTGGCACAGTGATGAAGAGCTCAGCTGTTAACCAAAAGATTGGCAGTTCAAATCCACCAGCTGCTCCTTGGAAACCCTACAGGGCAGTTCTTTGTCCTATAGGGTCACTATGAGTCAGAACCGACTTGACGGCAAAGAGTTTGGTTTCTGAAAAAACCAAACCCACTGCCGACATTGAATCAATTCATACCTGGTGGCCCCCTAGGGTTTCCAAGGCTGTAAATCTTTACATAAGCAGACTGCCACGTCTTTCTCCTGCAGAGCGTCTGGTAAGTTCGAACCACTGACCTTTTGGTTAACAGCTGAGCTCTTAACCACTGCGCCATCAGGGCTCCAGGGAGTGTTTATTGCAGTGTGAAGACAGCAGAAACCCTCAGACTTGATAAATGTAGGTAGCTAGAGGGTATTCTCTTACCCTCAGGGATGCCATGCTGGTTTTGAGTGAAAGGCCTCTGAGTACTTTGTCTACACAGGACCATATGGATCATCTGTAGAGGGGATGTATGCAGTATTTGGTAGAGACATTGATTTTGCTGCTGAGGTTCTTTGGCTAAACCTTGTCTCTTCCAGAAGACCTTCAGCTTCTACAGATTATACCTTGAGTTTGACTTCCTTTTCTTTTTTATTCCCAGAGCTCATGGTCCATGTGGGCGATTCAACTAAGATGGCGTGTGTTTTCCAGAGCACAGAAGAGAAACGTATGACCAAGTTAGACTGGGTGTTCTCATCAGGAGAGCATGCCACGGTAAGGAGGAAGAAACATCACTGCGTAGTAGAAGCCCCTGGCCAGTGATGTCAGGGCAGTGTGGGGAGAGGGAGAATGTAGTTACCAGGTGCTGTGTGATGGTGTTGTAAGAACTTGGGCTTTGGAGCCTGTCAGAACTGGAGCTCCTCCTAGCAAGTTCAGCTTCCTGATGAGAAAGGTGACTGTGATGATGGTGATGATGATGATGATGATGATGATGACGATGACGATGATAATGATGATGATGATGTTGCTTAACTTTTGGGGTTGTCAAGACACTGATAAGAGATAGTCACTGGGAACATTTTGTACTTGACTTGGCCACTACATTTTAGCATTTTAGTTTTCTTTGTCTTCTCCCTTCTCTTTGAGAGTATCATGGGAGAAGGAAGGGGATGATTTTTGTGGTCTATCCAGGAAAGCTATGGTCTAGGCATATGAATGACTTCATAGTGATTTGGGGTTATTTTTGTTAGTTTTCTTCTATGCCCCATTACCTTATTTATGTTAAGGAGAGAATTTTCTTTGTCTTCATGGATGCTTGAAATGTTGGGATTAGTAGTTTCCAGGAGCCAAAGTAAGAGGCATTTCATGGGAACTCTGTGAAGCAGTAAACAGCAAGTTATTTATTTTACTTGACCAGTAGCTCTCAACCATGGTGTGGTGATGTCCTTATGGGTCAAGATGTGTTTTGAGGTACATCCCAGGTAATTTGTTATTAATAAAAGTTAAGGTGCAAAGTTGATGAAAGATTTAACTTTCATAAATTAAAACATACTCCAGGGCATGTCTATAAAAAAAGTCACTTACACTCACTTGATTCCTTTATGTGTCTGAGTGGGTCAGAAAGGGTAGCATCAAGATGGCATATAGGGAATTATTCATAGTCCCAGGTTCACCCCTGGGAGCTTGTCATGCATTTAAATGTCATCCACCAAGTGACTCACAGCAGGAAATAGGATGAGGGTTGACATTTTGAGATTGTGCATGTAAATCACAAGAAATGAAACGTCATGTTCTCTCCATTTGTGTTTATGTCTGTAGGTAATGACCTTTTCTTAAAAGCATTTTAAAGGTAAATAATATGTGCATGCTTTTATGAAAAATGCCAACATTCATTCATTTAACAAAATTTAGGCATCTTCTTTGTGGTGAATACTCTTCTAGGCACCGAGGAATATAATAGTAAACAAAAGACAAAACTTCTGCCCACATCGGGACTTATAATCAAGACGGAGGGAATTATGAAATAAAATAATGAAGAAAAAAGTGTAATAATAATGGTAAAAGCTATGGAGAACAATAAAGCAGGGAAAGGGGATAGGAAATACCAGGTTATGGTGGTTGTTATTTTATACAGGTGTTAGGGATGCCTCACTGAGAAGGTGACATTTGAGCAGAGGTCTGAAGGGGAGCGAAGTATGTGTATGTCGGGGGAAGAGTGTTCCAGGCATAGGGAGCAGCGAGTACAAAGGCCCTGAGACCAGTTCTCAAGCTACAGCAAGAAGGCTGATGTGGCTGGAATGAAGTGATGTGGCTGGAATGAAGTGGAAGCCAGAGAGAAAAAGAGGGGGTACACTAGATCATATAGGACCTTGTACTTTGAGTAGAAATGGGGGACCATTAGAGGGTTTTGAGCAGAGAAATAACATTATCATGATTTAACTTATGTTTCCAAAGGCTCATCTGGCTACTCTGCTGAGAATAGGCACAATGGGGGAATAACCAGGCAGACTATTGCAGGAATCCAGGTGAGATGTGAGTGGCTTGGACTGGAGTGGTAACAGTGGAGAAAGTGAGGAGTGGCCAGATTTGAAATACATTTTAAAGGTAGAGGTGATAGGATTTGCTGAAGGATTAGATGTGAGTTGTTTGAGAGAGGAGTTAAGGATGACTCCAAGACTTCTAGTTTGAGCATCTGGAACAAGACACTGTCATTTATCAAAATGGGATGGACTGGAAGGACCCTGTTTGGGGGAAAAAATGAAGAGTTCAGCTACGGACATGTTTCAGGTATCTATTGGAAATCCAACTGAAAAGGTCATTAAAACGTAAAAGTGTACTTTTTGTTTTTTACTGGAGAAATGTGAAAAGTGAAAGTGTCTCATTCTCATTTTCCTCGTTCCTCTCTTCAGATTTAACAATTGTTCTTGGTTTGGTGGTAGTCTTCCTTTTAGGCATTATCGCTGTGTGTAAATGACTTTGTGTTATCTAATCCTTTCTGATAATACCTTTTACTGCCTACACATAACAAGGCTTGTGAGTCCTGAAATCCCCTCACTGCCACCCCACCTTCCCTCATACTTTTTGCCTTTCCCTTCTAGAAGGAGATTGTGTTGCAATATTACCCCAAACTCAAGGTACCTGTGGGGTTCCCTCAGAACTGGGGACGCTTCCAGAACCGTGTAAACCTGGCAGGGGACATTTCCCGCAATGATGGCTCCATCATGCTCCAAGGAGTGAAGGAGTCTGATGGAGGAAACTACACCTGCAGTATCTACCTGGGGAACCTGGAGTTTAAGAAAACTATTCTGCTGCATGTGATCCTGAAAGAGCCCAGAAGTATGTAACACTTAGTTGGGGAGGGCTGAGGGACTTCCTAGCTGTTTGGCAGGGCCAGGACTAGGGTGAAGCAAGAGAGGCGCCTAGGGTGCAAAATTTAAGGAGGCACTTGCTCAGGTGCTGACCCTGTACTTACAAGAACTGGAGAGTGAGTGCTTCCTTAAATTTGTTGTCTTAGGTGCCTCTTTTGCCTTACCCTAGTTCTGGCCCTGTTGGTAGGCCAAAGAAAAGGGAGATAATATTTAGTGCTCACCTACCCTATGCCCGACACCACTCATTGCCAGTGTTGTCTGCCAATTTAAAGACACAGGAGCTCAGAGATGAACTGGGGTTGATGTCCAAAGTCATTTTTTCTTGGCATCAAGGGAAATGCTGTATGCTCTGTAGTTGAAAGGAAAATGATCCTGAGCTGGTGAGAGCAACAAGGAACTGAGAGAAAACAGGAAGGAACCAGAACCAAAACTGGAGGGGTTTTCTGATCAAGGTTCTGTATTTTGGCAAACAGTGTGCCTTAAGGCCTGCGGTGTGTCTGAGAATAAAGAGTCAATTGTGTTGTTTCAGAGGTTGACAAGTGAGGAGTTGAAGTTAAAACATAACAAACACAGTTAGCAGCCAGGATGTGGCCTGTGGACTTTGCCTCTTGCTCAGGCCCCCAGCAGTTGGTTGTGGTTGGTTGGAGTTGGGTAGGGGGATGGGGCTGAGGATGGAATGGTACCTTGATACTACAGGCCAGAGACTTAAGTCTATGGAGTCACCTTCTTGTTAATGGCAAAGGGTTCCAGCTGGAGCAGAAAGCAGAACAGATGGATTTGTTGAAGAATCACTCTCTCTCTGTGTTTCACTGTCAGAGTGTTACCTCCCATCTCACAGAGAAAATACAGGCCGTTAGTGGGAGTTCACTTGACTTCTGAGCCTTCCCCACCCACAGCATATTTACATCTGCCCCCATTCTTATCTCTGCCCTGCCATCCTGAGGCAGAGGGAGCTCCTTCTGCCCTGGGCTTGTCCCTGCCCCTGTGCTCAGGCTGCATCTGCACCTCCTCCTCAGAAACCTCACAACATGGCTCTCCAGGATCTTTAAGTTCTCACTTTCCATTGGCTTCTACCATTCGGTGTATAAACATCCTCAACCCTTTCTTTTACCTTGTGTCCTAGTCTACTTTAGTTTTCATCCTACATGTTTCTTTAAACAAAACACCTCTTTACTGACATATAATTCACAAACCATACAATTCACCCATATAAAGGGTTCAAATCCATGGTTTTTAGTATAGTCAGGGTTGTGCAGTGATATACTTCTTTCTTGACAGAGCAAAATCACTTGCCTGAAGGCTGTATTCAGTTTCTTACTGTCTCATCTCCCGTTAACTCCTTGGGACACTGCATTCTGGCTTCTGCTTCCACCTCTACCCTAGTTTAGATCACCAAGGGCATCTAATTGCTCAGCCTTTGCCTTCTTTACCTCAGTAGTATTAGACACTTATTTTCTGGTCAGTTCCACCTGCATGTTTCAATGAGTACTTCAATGACAACATGCCCAAACCTACCCCAGCACACATCTCCCCAGCCCATCTACCCAACATCATTTAGTGCCCAACTGGATGCCTTGAAGTTATACTTGACTCCTCCCTTTGCTGTGACCCCTAATCTAACAGGTCAACAAGTCCTGCTGACTTATGAATCTGTCTTCTTACCAGTACATCACTACCACCTCAATTCTGGCATCATAGTCTCTGGCTTTGCCTGTTGGCCTCTAGCCAGTCTCTGCTTCCATTCTCAGCCACCACCATTCAAGCTTCATGCTGCTACCAGTGCCATCTTTCTAAATTTCAAATCTCAACAAGCATTTGATTCCACTACATATACTCTTTCAGTGGCTTCTCTAAGCCAAACTTCTGGTTGAGATAATCAAGGCCCTATATGACTTGGATACTATTAGCTATCCAGCCTAATTTCTCATCATACCCACAAATGCAACTTGTGCTCCAGACCTCCTGGACTGTTGCCAGTTCCTAAAAGCCCCATCCTATCAGGTCCCCAGGACTAATGCATAACATTCCCCCTGTCCTTCCCCCTGTTATCTGCTCAACAAACTTGACATTTCCTCTAAGATTCAGCTTAAGCTTTAAAACTTTTGCTGGTAAATTCCCATCTTGCTGTCAAATTCTCATAGGATTGCCTACTCTTTTCTCTGTGACCTCAGTACCCCATATAGACTTCTATCACAGCACCTGTAATAGTCTGTGGTTTTCTGTTTACATGTTTGTCTCTCTCTTTGAAGCCAGAGACTATGCATCATTCGCCTTTGTAACCTCAGTGTCTGGCAATGTCTGGCACCAAGGAGGTATTTGGTATACAGGCAGTCTCCAGATTACGAATGAGATACAGTCCTAAGTCTGTCTTTAAGTCAGATTTGTAGGTAAATTGGAACAAGTACATATGGTTCTTATTTAGCATCAGTTAGTCAAATGTTATGCATCTGTCAGCTTGTCCTACTGTGGCTTGCCTGTTGCTGTGATGCTGGAAGCTATGCCACCAGTATTTCAAATACCAGTAGGGTCACCCATGGTGAACAGGTTTCAGCAGAGCTTCCAGACTAAGACAGACTAGAAAGAAGGATATGGCAGTCTACTTCAGAAAAAATTGGCCAGTGAAAACCTTATGAATAGCAGCAGAACATTGTCTGATATAGTGCCAGAAGATGAACCCCTCAGGTTGGAAAGCACTCAAAATACGACTGGAGAAGAGCTGCCTCGTCAAAGTAGAGTTGACCTCAATGACGTGGATGGAGCCAAGCTTTTGGGACCTTCATCTGCTGATGTGGCATGATTCAAAATTAGAAGAAACTACTGCAAACATCCATTAATGTACAAAGTATGAATCTAGGAAAATTGGAAGTTGTCAAAAATGAAGTGGAACACGTAAAGGTTGATATCCTAGGCATTAGTGAGCTGAAATGCACTGGTATTGGCCATTTTGAATCCAGACAATCATATGGTCTACTATGCTGGGAAAGACAAATTGAACAGGAATGGCATCACATTCATCTTAAAAAGAACATTTCAAGATCTGTCCTGAAGTACAACATGGTCAGTGATAGGATAATATCCATACGCCTACAAGGAAGACCAATGAATACGACTATTATTCAAATTTACGTACCAACCATTAATGCCAAACATGAAGAAACTGAAGATTTTTTACCAACTTCTGCTATCTGAAATTGATCAAACATGCAGTCAAGATGCATTGATAATTACAGGTAAATGGAAGGCAAAAGCTGGAAACAAAGAGGAAGGATCTGTAGTTGGAAAATACGGAAAATACGGCCTTGCTGATAGAAGCGAAGCCAGAGATCGCATGATAGAATTTTGCAACCAATGACTTATTCATTGAAAATACCTTTTTTCAACAAAATAAATGGTGACTGTACATGTAGACCTCAGCAGATGGAAAACACAAGAGTGAAGTTGACTGCATCTATGGAAAGAGAGATGGAAAAGCTCAATATCATCAGTCAGAACAAGGCCAGTGGCCGAGTGCAGAACAGACCATCAATTGCTTATATGTAAGTTTTAGCTGAAGTTGAAGAAAGTTAAAACAAGTCCATGAGAACCAAAATATGACCTCTAGTATGTCTCATCTGATTTTGGAGACCATCTTAAGAATAGATTTGATGCAATGAACCAAATGCATCAATGACCGAAGACCAGACGAGTTGTGGGAAGATATCAAGGACATCATACATGAATAAAGCAAAAGGTCATTAAAAAGACAGAAAAGAAAGAAAAGACCAAAAGGGATGTCAGAAGAGACTCTGAAACTTGCTCTTGAACATAAAGAAGCTAAAGCAAATGAAAGAACTGATGAAGTAAAAGAGCTGAACAGAAGATGTCAGAGGGCAGCTCGAGAAGACAAAGCAAAGTATTATAATGAAATATGCAAACCCCTAGAGTTAGAAAACCAAAAGAATATGCTTAGCATTTCTCAAGCTGAAAGAACTGAAGAAAAAATTCAAGACTCGAGTTGCAATTTTGAAGGAGACTATGGGCAAAATATTGAAAGACCCAGGAAGAAGCAAAAGAAGATGGAAGGAATACAGAGTCACTGTAGCAAAAAGAATTGGTCGATGTTCAACCATTTCAAGAGGTAGTACATGATCAAGAACTGATGGTACCGAAGGAAGAAGTCCAAGCTGCACTGAAGGCATTGGCGAAAAACAAGGCTCCAGGAATTGACAGAATACCAACTGAGATGTTTCAACAAATAGATGCAGTGCTAGAGATGTTCACTTGTCTATGCCAAGAAATTTGGAAGACAGCTACCTGACCAACTGACTGGAAGAGATCCATATTTGTGTCCATTCCAAAGAAAGGTGATCCAACAGAATGTGGAAATTATGAACAATATCATATGAAAGTTAAATTATGCTGAAGATAATTCAAAAATGGTTGCAGCAGTACACCAACAGGGAACTTCCAGAAATTCAAGCTGGATTCAGAAGAGGATGTAGAACGAGGGATATCATTGCTAATGTCGGATGGATCTTGGCTGAAAGCAGAGAATACCAGAAGGATGTTTACCTGTGTTTTATTGACTATGCAAAGGCATTCAACTGTATGGATCATAACAAATAAAGGATAACATTATGAAGAATGGGAATTCCAGAACACTTAACTGTGCTCATTCAGAACCTGCACATAGACCAAGAGGCAGTCATTGGAACAGAACAAGGGGATACTGCATGGTTTAAAATCAGGAAAGGTGTGTGTGATGGTTGTATCCTTTCACACACCTTTCAGTCTGTATGCTGAGCAAATAATCTGAGAAGCTGGACTGTATGAAGGAGAACATGGCAACAGGATTGGAGGAAGACTCATTAACAACCTGCAATATGCAGATGACATAACCTTGCTTGCCAGAAGTGAAGAGGACTTGAAGGAAGCACTTACTGATGACGATCAAAGACTACAGCCTTCAGTATGGATTACACCTCAACATAAAGAAAATAAAAATCCTCACGACTGAACCAATAAGCAACATCATGATAAATGGAGAAAATACTGAAGGTGTCAAGCATTTCATTCTACTTGCGTCCACGATCAATGCCAATGGAAACAGCAGTCAGGAAATCAAACAATGTACTGCATTGGACAAATCTGCTGCAAAAGATCTTTTTTTTTTTTTTAAACATTTTAAAGAGCCCTTTTGCAGCAGATTTGCCCAATGCAATGCATCATTTGATTTCTTTTTTATTTTTTTAATTGTACTTTAGATGAAGTTTTACAGAGCAAACAAGTTTCTCACTAAACAATTAATACCCCTATCGTTTTCTGACATTGGTTGCCAACCCCATGACATGTCAACCCTCTCCCCTTCTCGACCTTCCTCATTACCAGCCTTCCTGTCCCTTCCTGCCTTCTTGTCCTTGCCCTTGTGCTGGTGTGCCCATTTAGTGTCGTTTGGTTTTATAGGCCTATCTAATCTTTGGCTGAAGATAAACCTGAGGAGTGACTTCATTACTGAGCTATAAGGCTGTCCGGGTGCAAAAGACCTTTTTAAAGTGTTCAAAAGCAAAGATATCACTTTGAGGACTAAGGTTCACCTGACCCAAGCCATGGTATTTTTAATTGCCTTGTATGCATGCAAAAGTTGGACAATGAATAAGGAAGACTGAAGAAGAATTGACGCCTTTGAATTACGGTGTTGACAAAGAATATTGACTATATGATGGACTGCCTTGGAAGAAATACAGCCAAAGTGTTCCTTGGAAGCGAGGATGGCGAGACTTCATTTCATGTACTTTGAACATGTTAGCAGAAGGATCAGTCCCTGGAGAAGGACATCATGCTTGGTAAGGTAGAGGATCAGCGAAAAAGAGGAAGACCCTGATGAGATGGATTGATACAGTGGCTGTAACAAAGGCCTCAAGCATAGCTATGATTGTGAGGATGGCACAGGACCAGGCAGTGTTTGGTTCTATTGTACATAGGGTTGCTATGAGTCAGTATGGACTTGACAGCACCTAACAACAGTCAAATATTTGTCTTGTTGTTGTTATTATATTATACTGTATGTACAATATGTATATTTAGAGTAAATGAGTGAAGGTGGAATGTCTCCTTAAGGCCTTGCTTGGTATCATGGCTATGGGGCTGAGTGTCATACCATGTATTCTTGTGGAAACAATCACTTGCCCATAGAAAGGTCAGCAGCATCTAAAATGCCTATTCTTTCCAGGTTGGGTAAACTAAATTTAAAAATAGAATTCTTAATGTGAAAGGAAACACTACCATAGGGGACATGCTGCTGGCCTCCGCTCCTACTCACCTCAATCTACATTTTAGGGGTAAAACAAGGGGTCAGACTTCAGTTCTCAATCCATGGGGGCATTTGGAGTTACCATGTCTTGATACGGCTTAAAGTCTGGCTTTCTTCCTGCTCTTCCTGGCTGCTTCTTGGTACTTAGTGTAGAACCTTTGCCTGAACTATGGGACTTTCAGCTCTTTTCTGGAGTACTGAGTCCCTCACATTGCTTTTTTGCTTTCTCAAGCATTGGTGACCCCAGCAACCCTGACACCTGATATCCTGGGTAATAATCATCTGGTGATCATTGTGGGCATTGTCTGCACCACCATCCTGCTGCTGGCTGCTCTGATATTGATCATGAAGAGGACCCACAGGAATAAGAGGTACAGGACTGCCCTCATCCCTTGGGATGGGAGGCTGGGGGTGCAGGACCTCCTCTAACCCAAAGTGACAGAGAGTGATAGGGCCATAACTACCATTTTCACTGAGGTATTCTTTTTTTTTTCATGGATATTTATTTTACACTTTGGGTTATTATCCAACAGTACTTTTAAAAATTTTTATTTGTTTATAATTCAGTGACATTGATTACATTTTTCATGTTGTGCCACCACTATTGCTATTCTTTTCCAAAATACTCCACCACCATTAACATAAACTCAATGCCCCCAAACAAAAATTCCCTCTTTCCCCCTTCCTCCCACTCCTGGTCACCATTAATAATCTTTGGTTTCTATATATTTGCTTATTTCATATAAGTGAGATCACACAGTATTTGTCCTTTTGTAACTGACTTATTTCACTTAGCATAATGTTTTCAATGTTCATCCATGTCGTGGCATGCATCAGAACTTCATCTCTCTTTACAGCTGTATAATATTCCATTGTAAGTATACACCACATTTTGTTTATTCATTCATCTGTTGATGGACATTTGGTTGTTCACTGAAGTTTTTTTAAAATAGAACCATCTATGGTTATCTAATAGATGTCATTCATGTAGTCACCCCACTCCGTTTGCACAGTGTGCTCCTGAGAAGCCTTGTACAGTCCCACACCTCCCTCCTTTGCCTTCCTATCATCCCAAGATGACAAACGCCTTTACAAATGGTGATCTAAGTAGAGCATAATTAAAGAGAGAAATCTTATACAAGAGCTCAATAGTGCCATTCAATGCCCGAGATGATTTTTGAATTATCTACGCTATACACTTCATATAGAATCTTAGATCTTGAGGACTGATAGTGGTTTTCTTTAAATGGTTTCATTCTGAATTGTAAGAGAGGCGAATTTTTGAGTGGTTGCCCTCAGATTCTAAATTTATTGTTGAAGTGTGTTTTTAAAGGCCTGACTTTCATCAGTGTTTTTCCAAGAGTCTCAGAAATGTTCAGATGCTCTGACATGACACTTGTGTTTCAGTGGCTGTTGGCAGGTCCACATCCCTCAGTTTATCAGCTACTGAGGAAATATGATGGTAGGGCAAATGGTCTCTTGTTGAAATAGTGTCAGTCGGCAGGGGCCCCCATTAGGACTAAGTAATGCTGACTTTCGAGTCCTCTTGCCCCATGGAACATGGGTTCTACAGACAGCACTGGTGCCTGCAAGGTCTGCATCCCACTCTGCAGGGCTCTCCGATTTATTTTTGGACTCTGTTGGCCTCTTTAAGGACCCTTGCTCTGAGGGTCCTGAGAGCACTGAACCAAGAATTAGACAACCTGGGTTCCAGTGTCAGCTCTAATCTGGTTGCTAAGAGACTGTGGACAAATCGCTTCCTCCCTGTGGGCCTCGCTTCCCCTCAAAATGATGGGCAACAGTTGTCTAGTAATTTACCCTAAAAAATGTAATCAGACTGGTATGCCGAGATTTGTGTATAAGCATGATCACTGCAGCATTGATTAAAATTAAAAATTGGATCATCCTCAGTGTCTATCAGAAGGGCAATAATTAAATGACTTGATATCCTATTCAATGGAATATTGTAGAACCCTTAGAAAGGGTAAGATGCATCTGTGTGTAATGACAAGGGGTAGTATTATAGAATATGTCGTATGATCTCATTTTTGTAAAAAAAAGACAATTAATGCTCACTTCAGCAGCATACGTACTAAATTATTTGTGTGAGAATACTTACGCTTGCATTGAGAGAGTCTGGAAGGATAATTGTAAAATGTTAATGACAGTGGTATTTGGGATAAAAGAAAAGGTGGGACCAGTAAGAGTGGGGAGTTTACTGGCTACATCAACTTCTTAACTGTCTACATTTCTATATTATTTGAATTATTTTACAAAAAGAATATATAACTTGATAATCAATAAATACAATAAAAATGTTTCTACTTTGGGAAAAAAATCTCTATGGTTTCTTTTCTAGCTTTAACCCTGATTTGTATTTTAGCTTTACCTGAGGCCAAAATAGAAAAAAAAGAAAGGCATATTCAGTTGCGAATACAGATGGCAAATGATCAAGAGATCAAAGGCCAACAACGGCTGACCTGAACCGCCCGGGAAGGGGCCAGAGCTCCTAGCTTGGGGTGTTTGTGGGGATAATTCAGCTTGGCCTCCTCCCTTGGACTGCTGTCTTGTTGAGCTTCTGCTGCCCCCTGCTGGTTCAGTTACATCTCCTTAGGCCTCAGGAATGCCGAGTGGGTGATAAAGTGGACTGAGCTCCAGAGAGAAGCTACCTGAATACATTTATGATCACCTAGTACATTCCTAGGATGGTGCAAGGTACTGATGGAGGGAGAGTTTTTAAAAGATTCTCAGGCTCACCAATTCCCACCTGTAAAGCGCAGATGTCCCCAACCTAACACTTCACAACTGAAGGTTAAAGAAGATGGGGTAATACCTGGCACATGCCTGGCCCCAGAACAGGCCCAACCCCAAAACCAAACCGACTGCCTTTGAGTCGATTCGACTCATAGCCACCCTATAGGACAGAGTAGAACTGCCCCATAGGGTTTCCAAGGAGCGGCTGGTGGACTGAACTGCTGACCTCTGAGCTGACCTTGTAGACTGGTGACCAGGCCCTCACCATAGGACGTGATTTTTGCTGACACTGCCTGAAAGATCTCTAAAAAGGGCAACATCTCTACAATTAGACAGGGGGCTTAAAGTGCAAAAGTCCCCGGTTGAAGGGCACGCTTGACATATGATTCATACTTCGGTATAAATGCCTGGGATCCGGGTCTTTTTTAAGAGCTGATTTGCTAGGGGGAAGGACAGAGACATCCCTGGCAGTCAGGAGGGAGTGGTAGGTTTGCAGGTTTGCAGTTTTCCTTTGGGTTGGGTCTGCTGGAAGTGTTTCCAGCTCTCAGGGGGCTTGTGTTCTCTCTGGGATCCCCAAGACTAGCTGAGAGCAGTGACAATGTGAAGCAGCTTATGGCCAACAGCCAAACTCAGTGGCTGCTGATGTCCTGTTTAATTGGCTTCCACACCTCTTGACTTGAGAAGGGAATTACATTACTCCAGCCTAAACACACAGAATGTGTCACCTCTCCCTCCCAGGGAAGGAGTCTAACCCCACGGCCCCTCTCTATTCATTCACTTAAAATTGTATTTCCTGTTATGGACAGAAAGTTGATGGGCGTAGAGGCTGTTTTTCAGTCTGAACTATTCTCCAGACTGGCTTCTTGCCCTGCACTAGAAGATATGCATTCTCAGGTTTCGAGGTGAGCTGGGTCACACTGGATGTAAGAATCTGGAACAACTAATTATTCCTCCTTCAGAGCCTCCCTCCTTGTAAACCTATGTGGGGGCCCCAGGTCGGCACCTTTGAATGTACAGCGCTGGCTGTTTAATCCCACCTGCTTTTCATGCCTTGCAGTTCAGTGAATTCTACAACCCTGGTGAAAAACCTGGAGAACACAAAGAAAGTGAACCCAGAGGTAAGAGAAGAACTCTGCTGTTTTGCTGATTTGCTCAGTGAGGGTGCGTGACCCAGGCTGAAACCGAGGTAGATGACGTGTTGTCCTCATTGCTCTGTGAACTGTGTCTTACCCACTGTTAGGTCTCAGTACGCACGCCCGTGCCTGGCACGGAATGGGCACTCCGGAAATCTTTATCCCTGCAGTAAAAGCTCTGAGAGTGAAATGAGGTGGGGTGGGGCGGGCCAGACCAGGCCAGGGCAGTGGATCCTGGTAGTGGGCAGAGGATCCAGAGCGCTGGACTTGGAGTTATTAGAAAGTCTGGGTTCAAGCCCAGCTCTGCCACCTCCCTGAGGGTCAGTTTTCTCGTACAAGAAGGAGGATAAGGACAAAAAGCTCTGCCTGCCTGCATTACAGGGTTGTTTGTAAGGTTCAAATAAAATGATATGAAAGTATTGTGTAATATATGAGGCACTGTGTAAATATAAGGGAGAATTATTATGATGCATTCAGAAGCTAATGGTTAAGAGTCAATATTCAGGGAGTGTATTCATTCCCTAGAGCCGCCCTAACAAAGTACTACGAAGCGAGTAGCTTTGAAGGAATAGAAATGTATTGTCTCACAATTCTGGAGACTAGGAGTCCAAATGGACATGTTGGTCAGGTCATGCTCCCTCCAAAGGCTCTAGGGGAAGATCCTTTCTTGTCTCTCCTAGCTTCTGGTAGGCCCGGGCGTTCCTTGGCTTGTAGATGTATCTTCACATGGCCATGCTTCCTCTGTCTCCCTCTCTGTCTCTTTTCTCCTCTTTTATAAGGACACCATGCAGGTGGCATTAGGACCCACCTTACTCCACTATGACCTCAAGCTCATTTAACCGATAACATCTGTCAAGACTCAATTTCCAAACAAGGTCACATTTATAGTTCTCAGAGGTTAGGATTTCAACATATCTTTTTGAGGGACACAATTCAATCTGTAACAAGGAACTTTAGAAAGAAAGGACCAAGAAGGACTTTTTCCTCCATGATAATTTGAGCTATATGTAAGGGCTACTAAGGATTAAAAAGGAGTCCCTGGGTGGTGCAAGTGGTTAACAAGCTCTGCTGCTAACAGAAAGGTTGGAGGTTTGAGTCCACCCAGAGGCACCTTGGAAGAAAGGCCTGGCAATCTACTTTCGAAAACCGGCCATTGAAAACCCTATGGAGCACAGTTCTACACTGACACACGGGAGGTCACTGTGAGTCTGGGTCTACTTGACAGCAACTGGTTTTTAAGGGTTGAGAAAGTGGATTCATTGCCTTGAAATCCTATTGCTTTTTTTTTTGTTTTTTCCTCTTTAAACTTCTCTTCAAATAGCTACATTTCCATCTTTTGGACAGTGTCCCAAGAGTAAGACGTTCTCCCAGCATGGTACAGGGGCCTCCAGAAGACCAAGGATTTATCACTGGATGACATTGCTTCCCTGAACAGTGACAGGAATGTGAATCACAAAGTGCCATTGACCTCACAGAAGTCAGGGAGTCACTAAGGGTCCCTGCCATACATGCCCTCTGAGAGCTACAATGACAATTAGCTGCTGATTAATGCCATGTTCCAGGAATTCAATTCGAAGGAAATAACCACATAATACAAATAATTTGTCAAGATAAGCATTCCTTACTGCTACCTAAAAACCCCACCCAAACAAAGATATTTGACTTAAAATTGTCATTCTAACCATTTTTGAGTGTATATCCAGTGACATTAATTACATTCACGATATGGTGCAGTCATCACCACTGTCTATTTACAAAACTTTTTCATCACCCCAAATGTAAATGCTGTACACAGTAAGCAATACCTATAGCCGTCGAGTTGATTCTGACTCATAGCAACCCTATAGGAGAAGGGCTCCTTACATTAAGCAATAGCACCCCATTTTCCTTCTCCCCCAGCCCCTGGTAACCACTAATCCACTTTTGTCTCTATGCATTTGCCTATTCTAGATATTTCATGTAAGTGGGATCATACAATAGTTGTCCTTTTGTGTCGCTGACTTATTTCACTCAGCATAATGCTTTCGAGTTTCATCCATGTTGTAGCATGTATGAGAATTTCATTTCTCCTTAAGGCTGAATAATATTCCATGGTATGGGTATACCACATTTTGTTTATCCATTCATCTGTTGATGGACACTTGGGTTGTTTTCACCTTTCGGCTGTTGTAAATAGTGCCGCAATGAACATTCGTGTACAAGTAGGATGTTTCGCTTTTGAAGCAAGGAATTTGGTTCGTAAGATGGTGGTCTTTCCTAATGAGTGAAATTTCAAGAAGCCTGAAAAATGAATTATCATTATAGATGATAATTCTCTAGCTCTCAATAACTGTCTGAATCTGCTGATATTGGTGGTTGATGCCCTGGGAATAGGAATGATGAACTTTTTTCTGACATCATAAGATTCTCTTGATTTTAAGAAACTTTCATACCATTTTTTCCCTCTAGAAACACATTTACTCCTCGATAAGTACAAAGGAGGTGATCCAGGAAGAGGAATTGACTGGGAAATCAGAGGCCACCTACATGACCATGGTGAGAATGATTCTGGGTCAAACTGAGCCTGGTTTCTAGAGGAGGGAGAAGGAGCTGGGAGGGATACGGCCAACTCTTGGACAGACCACTTGGCTAGGCCACCTGGGGAGGCTGTTTGCTGAGGTCAAACATTTTTCTAAGTAGTAGGAATGTCAAAAAATCTGAAGCTCTGATGGACAGAAGAGTAGTATAAACTTACCTTCACACCTGCTCTTGAGGCTTAAGGGTCATTGCTGGAGATTATTAATTTTAATGGTAAAAAAGACACCTTAATCTGGGATAGGGAAAGTGCTTCTGCCTTATCAGTACCAGTTGCCATGGAGTTGATTCTAACTCAAGGCGACCCCATGTGTGTCAGAGTAGAACTGTGCTCTGTAGGGTTTTTAATGGCTGAGTTTTCGGAAGTAGATTGCCAGGCCTTTCTTCTGAGGAGCCTGTGGGTGGACTCAAACCCCCAACCTTTCAGTTAGCAGCTGAGCACATTAACTGTTTGCACCACCCAGGAACTCCTGAATAAACACCAGACTCCACTTTCTAGGCCTCCCCTCAACATAACGCAGACTTTGGTAACCAAGCCGGTGACCCCTGGTTAAACACAATCTAATAAGAAGAGCATGTTAAGATCCTTGGACTAGTGTTTCCTTGCAAGGAGTTGTTTTCCTTCCTATCAAAAGGTCGACATTGTTGTTGTTGTCGTTGTTTTAAATTCCAGGACTTATTATACCTTGACATAGTCTAACTGCTAAGCAGGCTGCATGCTGAATTTCGTATAGTAATATGGAGTCTGACTCATATTTTCTCTTGTACAGCAAGAGGGGACCTAAGCACAGCACCTAGAAAAGGCACCTAGTAGTGGAGCGAGTAGGGGTAGGGACAAAAGGAGTTAGCCGGCAGTGAAAGCAACACTATTTGTGGACTAATTATAGGCACCATGTCCATTAAGGGAGCAGTGTTCTGCTAGATGCAGGGAAGACTGGCCCTTCCTAATTGTGGACGGATGTGTTTGTTCCTGTTGCACTGGCATTTATGACACATGACTCCCAGCTGATTGTAGCAGGGAAAGGTTCTGCCAAGGAAGTGTGAGATCAGAGGCCTGGCCCAGTTCCACCAAGTGAAACATTAGCTGCACTCTAAAGTTTCAGTTGCTTATAGTAATTTTTCCCCCTACATCCTTTTGCCAATATTGCCATGTGATGTTACAGTAACTGCCAGCCCTCATCCTGGACCTCGGAGACGTGCTGATGCAGTTGCACTGTGGCTCCTGCTAAGTATTTCACCCACTCGGGTGTCACTGTTTGCAGAAAGTCTCTGAGATAGAGATGATGTAATAGTGACTTTGAAGCTACCTCCCTTATGTTCAGTGCGAAACCAAAACCAAACCCCTTGCTGTTGAGTCTATTCCAACTCATGGCGACCCCATGAGTGTCAGAGTAGAACTGCACTCCATAGGGTTTTCAATGGCTATAATCTGATAGAAAGGTCCTTGAGTGGTGCAAATGGTTTGCACTCTATTACTAACCTAAAGGTTGGTGGTTCAAACCCACCCAGTGGCACCACATAAGAAAGGCCTGGTGATCTGCTTCCATAATGATTATAGCCAAGAAAACCCTATGGAGCAATTCTACTCTGTAACACATAGGGTCGCCATGAGTCGGAGTTAACTTGACGGCAACAAGTTGATTTTCTGGAAGTAGATCGCCAGCCCTTTCTTCTACAGCACGGCTGGGTGGATTTGAACTGCCAACATTTCAGTTAGTAGCCAAGCACAAACCTTTTATGTCACAGGTGCTTGCTATTTAAACTCTGTGGAAAACAGCATCTCTGCCCTCTTGAAATGGATCAATAAGAGGCCAGGGCTACAAACTCAAAGGCCTTCAGGGACTGGTCAAGTTGTTTTAAAACACTATGTACCAAATTAAATAAGCCTGTGGGAGAATTCTGGCCTGCAGGTCACTAGTTTGAGACCCTAGGTGTAGGGGTAAGGAAGAACCACTTGATTTTTCTGTTGAGTTGATTAATTTTTACTTAAATGAAGTGGTGCCATGCTGTTTCTGAGCCTGTACAGCACTGTGGTTAAGATCATAAGTTTTGGAGTTGGACAGATCTGGGTCCAAATCCTGATTCTGACTTTACAGCTAGATGATCTTGGGCAGGTCACTTAGCTTCTTGAGCCTCAGTCTTCTCATCCATAAAATGGAAATAATAATAACCTACATCCCTGATGGTGAGGATCACTGGAGGTATTGCATGTGAAATTCCGTATTGGACAGGACACCTGGAAAGAGCTCATTAAATGGTGTTATGTTGTTGCTAGCTGCCATAGAGTTGGCCTCCAACTCATGGTGACCCCATGCACAGTGAATGGGACCATTGTGATCCATAGGGTTTCCTTTGGCTGGTTTTTGGAGGCAGATTGCCAGGCCTTTCAATCTAGTCCATCTTAGGCTGGAAGCTCTGCTGAAACCTGCTCGGCACCATAGTAATATGCTAGCCTCCACGACAGATGACGGGTGGTGGATGTATATGAGGTTCATTGGCTGGGAATCAAACCCGAGTCTCCAGCATGGAAGGCCAGAATTATATCACTGAACCACCACTGCCCCCTCAATAAATGGTAGCTGCTATTTATTATTGAAATGCTTCTTACAATTGTGCTTTGTTTCTTTCTTCTCTTCCTCCACAGAACCCAGTTTGGCCTTCTATGAGGTCAACACAGAACAACCCACTTGAAAAAAAGTCAGCTGAGGAAATGCTAAAAACAGAGCAAGCTTTTTGAGAAGAAAGGAGCTTATCTATCTTTCCAAGCACAGTGGAAGAGACTCTATCTACTCTATGTGTCCTGAGCTGCAGTACCAGTTATTTCTAACCTCCTAACTCTCCCCCCTACAATTGTCCTCCTGCCTTATTCCTTGGCCAAAGGACTGAAGATGGAGGATTTGCAGGCTGGCAGAAAGACTGGACAGATTTGGAGGAGCAAGGCCTAATGAAGGGAGGGTGGAACGTGGGCTGGGAGGCTCTGGTGTGGGGCACTGGCATGGAGGAACCTGACGGAGCTGCCGCACCGGCCTCAGGTGTGCTGTCGGATGAGACCCTTCACTTGGACAGTGTTCTTTGTGGATGAGCTATTGGGAAGAATGAAAGAGATATAAAAACCAACCCAAACGATTCTTTTGATAAATTATCCCTAAATAAATGTGATTTGTGCAAACCATCCATTTTTATGTCCTGGCTGAGGGACAAGGGGAGTCATGAAGAGGACTTTACCGTAGGGAAGTCTTACAACAACCGAAGTTCCTCAAAGAAAGCCATGCTGTGGCTTAACACATTGGGGTTAGTTTTGGTCTTAGGAGTGGGAAATTTCTGGGGGCAAATGGATTGGAAGTGGGGTGGGAAAACAGCTCTAGGATTTAACCCATGAGTTCTTAATTCTGGCTGGGTATCAGAATTGCTGGTGCCTCTTTACTGGACCTCATCTGATTTGGAATTCTTAGGTAGAGCTTGGACATCTTTTTTTAGAAGTGATACTCATGGGTTGCCAAAGTGAACAGCCACTGATTTAACTCTTGTTCTGAAACCTAAGGTTCCTATACTTTTTGGTTACTACTGTAAGATTTGATAAGGTTGGTCTTAAAGGATCCTTTGGTTCAGAACTCCTATTCCTAGCCTCCAGGGATCAGCCTGAACTCAGTTCAGGTCTCCTCTCCTTGATGCTCACAGGTACCTTGCTCATTCTCTGTGTCTCTTCCTTCTCATTTAGCCATTCAGGGCATGGATAAAGAGGAAGGCTTTTCCGGTTCTCCAGTTTTTAATCCAATCTCAAGTGGGGCTGCATTTTTTTTTTTAATCTTTTTATAAATTTTATTTGTTTTATTGTTGAAAATATACACAGCAAAACATATCAATTCAACAATTGCTACATGTACAATTTTTAGTGACATTGATTACATTCTTTGAGTTGTGCAACCATTCTCACCCTCCTTTTCTGAGTTGTTCCTTCCTCATTATCATAAACTCACTGCCCCCTAAGGTTCCTATTTAATCTTTCTGAGTTGCTGTTGTCAATTTGATCCCGTATAGATAGTTCTTAGGGGCTACATTTTTGAAGAAGTCTCCTAACTCTTCCAACATCAGGACCCTCTCATAGCACACCCATTATTAACTTCTTTCTTTTTCATCAACTCTTCTTAGATTTCCACTTGGAAGCCTGTAGATTCTTTTTGTTCTCATTCATCTGTAGCCGAGGCATTCAATGTTTTCTTCTTACCTGTTAGCTCTATAAGGAGTTTGCCAATAATCTACAATAAGAGCACTGAAGGCAATATCTTGTCCAAGAATCGTACTGGAAAGAAGACTCATATTGGCATAGAGGTAATAGAGGTGGGAAGAGGACTTTCAAATCATAAGACTTCTTGGAGAGGAAGTGGTTTAATTTCTGGGCTAGTAAGTAACATTGTCTCCTGGGCTAAGGGGCCCTTTTCCACTTCCTCAAATATTGTGTGCATAGGAGGATGGCCTCCAAGGTACAGAGACAGGGGGACGGATGGTGATATTACATAGAGTTGCTATGAGTCTAAATTGACTCAGAGACAGTGGGTTTTGTTGTTTTCTTTTGTTGTTGTTGTTATTCTGGAACTGAGAAAATCATTGAGATAAGAGCTGGAGGAAGGGATGGGCAGCTTATCTACATGCTCCTGCAGAGGGTGCTTTGCTGGGGAAAGTGTGGGTATGCCCTTCAGGGTTGGACTTGCCCAAATTTGAATTTGACTCATTTAGAGTCTGAATTCCATTCCAGGTTCAGTAGTTGTGACTGCAGGGAGGAAGAGGAGGCCCACCTCTCCCCTTACCCCTTACAAACCTTCCTCATATACGCAGGCTTGGAGTCAAGGTCGAAGGTGGACTTCCAGCTATCAAATGCTAATTTTGCCCCAAACCAAGACCGGGCCTTTGGGGGACCTTGAAAAAGACCTGCTTGCTCATTCATGCCCTTCTCCTAGAGATAAACCAAAACCAAACCAGTTGCTGTCTAAGATGGCTCATGCTGACCCCATGTGTGTCAGAGTAGAACTGTGCTCCACAGAGCTTTCAATGGCTGTGATTTTTCGGAAGTAGAACACCTTTCTTCTGAGGTGCCTCTTGGTGGACTTGAATCTCCAATCTTACAGTTAGCAGCTGAGTGCCTAATAATTTGCACCACCTAAGCACTCCCTCCTAGAGGTGGCTGTCCACTAAATCCAGGAATATGAAGGCATAGGGTATAGGGAATGGGCTTCAGAGTCCAACAGGCTGATCAAATCCTGGCCCTGTCTCTTACTCACTCTTCAGTATTGTAAAGTTTACTTAAATTCGTCGAGGCTGTTTTCCCTATATATAGAATGGAAGCCCAGGATTTTTTGTGAGGATTAAATGAGGGGAGAGTGCCTGGTCTGAGTCCTCCATCCCTTTCAAATATGTCTTTCCTATTTGGATTTATCCTCCCAGCCCTTGGGACTCAGCTACTGGCTCTTCTATCTACGCTAGGCAGTCTGATAACATAATTAAGAAATGTGGGTGACAAGGTCCTCTGGTGAGTCAGTCCCCATCTTTTCTTAATTTTTATTTCTATGGTCAGGGAGCTCTTTAATCCAAAATACTTAAATCCGTCTCCCCAGCCAAAGTGTTAGGAAGCTGGGCTTAGAAGGGTAACATTCTGAAGGGCAGGAAAGCTGTTGGAGACTGAGCAAGCTGGATCTCCTTGCAGTCCGTCCTTTAGCAAGCAGTCTTCTTACTTGAATTTGCAGTATGCTAAGTCCCTGGAACACCAGATGCTCCCATATTCAAAGATTTCCAGAAGCGTGAAGGCATTTGCAAACAGAAGGCAGCCCCAGGGGCGGAGGAGGCTGAGTTACCCACGAATAATGGATAATTAAACGGCTTCAGAGTCTGCCTCTTGGAATTGAAAACAGTTTAGCCTGCCCACTAGAGACCAGTAGAAGATGTGCCTCCTTTAAATGGTTACAGCCTTCTCCCAACCTTTCAATCCTTTATGTCTCCTTGCCACCCCACTCTTTTTTTCTTTCTTTCATTTTTGGCTAATGAGTATGCTTACATATCTACATTGACAGTTTTCTTTGATAAAAAACTAGTTATTTTTTCCATCTTGTGTGGCACCTCCAGCTTTTGTGTGTGTGTGTGTGTGTGTGTGTGTGTGGTGCATATAAGGGGTCATGCTGCCACTGAATTTGCTCAGTTACTGTGAGTCAAAGAACCTTAGATTCTAAGTTTTCTCCCAGCATAGACCAGTTATTCTCTTACTGAGAATAAACGAAGTTTCTCAGGACCACTGACCTTCTGACCTGGTCACCTGGTTTGCAGATGTGGTCTGGTCTTCTTGCTACAAGGGAGATCAGGCAATCTGTTACCACTTTTGTAAACCCTTACTCTCAAAACACCTCTTCATCAGAAAACAGGGAACTCAGAGTTCCCTCAGAATAGCTAAGACCTTTCTTATCTTATGTCTGGTGAAAGCAATAGCAATTTACCTGTTCTAGAACCTTCAAAGGCACCTGTCTGCACTCTGAGTTGTGTGTTCACGGTCTTCCGTTCTGGCGCCACCTCATCTGCCTATTTCTTCATGACAGGAACCCTATGCTCCGAATACCTGTCTCCTTCCTGCCTCTGTACCTTTACGCCTAGTGTTCCTTTGCCTGGAATGCCCTTCTGCTTCTTGCCTGCCCAAGTCAACATTCCTTCAAGACTCTACCGAGTCCTGCCTAGGAGATCCCCTATTTCTCACATCTTCCTGGAGGTCTCTACACTTGTTCAAGATTTTATCTTCTGTTGTCCTCTAATTGTTTCATGGGTGTGAAGCTTTATTTTTCCTTAGAGATCCTGCTTTAGGCCTCTAACCTTTGCAGAAAGAAGTCACTCAATGGCCCATCCAATGTCCAAGTGTGGGACTCAGAGGAAGTGTGTAACAGGCCCTTGTTGAATGGAATTCCTCAGGAGCGGAGTGGGACAATTTACACATGGAGCTGCAGACCTGAATCCCAGCCCAGTTAAACCCCATCTTGGCTGGGTAAGGTCAGGCTGAGGGAATTTCTGCCCTTTCTCGAGTTGTGAAATAGCCATTTATAAACGCTCATTTGCTCGGCAGAGGCCCAGCCCATACTCAGAAGAATAAGACTCAGTCCCTGTCCTTAAAGTTCTACAGTCTAGTTGGGGAGGTAAGATATGTAAACCATAATGACAATACTATGTGACCCCTGCTAACACAGAGATCCAGGCAATACCGGGTATACCTTTGTCCCCTTGTCCCCCATAGATGGAATTGCACTCATCATGATGTATTGTGAGTTTCTACAGTTATCTCCCTATCTAGAATGTGAACTGTCTAAGGATGAGCTGTATCTTATGCATTTCTGAGTCCATAGTTTCTAGCCCAGCATCTGGCACAGATCTGCTACAACCATCAGTTGCCATAGAGTCAACTCTGACTCAAAGTGATCCCATGTGTATCAGAGAAGAACTGTGCTCTACAGTATTTTCAATGGCTGATTTTTCAGAAGCAGATTGCCAGGCCTTTCTTCTTAGGTATCTCTAGGTGGAGTTGAACTGCCACTCTTTTTCAGTTAGCAGCCAGGATGTTAACCATTTGCATCACCCAGGGACTCTGTCTCGTACGTAAACTAATAAAACCAAACTGGTTGCCGTCGAGTCAATTCCGACTCATAGTGACCCTACAGGATAGGGTAGAACTACCCCATAGGGTTCCCGAGGCTGTCAATGATTACAGAACCAGACTGCCACTTCTTTCTCCTGTGGAGCAGCTGGTGGGTTTGAGCCACCACCTTTTGGATAGCAGCCCAACTCTTTAACCACTGCACCACTAGGCTCCTGTCTGGCCCATAGGGGGCGTAAAAGAGATACACAGTTTGTTGAATGAGGGAATTGATAAACAAATCAGTGGATGCACCCAGAGCACAGAGAAGAGGTGTTTAGAAGGTTAGGAGTAAGGTGACTTTGGAGATTTTTGAAGAAAGACTAGGAGCTTGCTGAGCAAGCAAGAGAGGAAGGACATTCCTAGAAGATGGAACTACAAGTGCAAAGACACAAAGTTGAAGCCAAATATGGGTTTAGAGAAACCTCAGCGGTTATAGAATGGCTTGACAAAGGAGTATAGGGCTGAGAAGAGGTGAATAAAATGAACCCCTGTCTGGTTACCCCTGAGCAGGC